GGGGGGGGAGTATGAGGTGTGGAATGGAGTGAAGTCCAATCAGCTTCCATATGCAAAAGACCTTGAAGGTTCCATATGCAACTGACATTCCAACTGCCTTGAGGGGAGGGGGGTGAGTTTGAGGTGTGGAATGCAGTGAAGTCCAATCAGCTTCCATATGCAAAAGACCTTGAAACGCTGGGCGGGACTGCACAAAGCAGCCAGTCAACCCAGCCAGCGTCTTCTGACTGACAGTTCAAGCGTCCATACACTAAAGGAGTGCATTTTAGAACTTTGGCACCCACTATTCAATTATATATAAGGAGGGATTAGGGGAAGGCCTCAGCCTCTATGCCCTGTTGCTGGTTCTCCAGAGGAACTGGTTGGCCACTGTGTGAGACAGGAGGCTGGACGAGATGGACCATTGGTCTGATCCAGCAGGGCTCTTCTGATGTTCATATGTTCTTACCTGAATACTCTAATCATCTCTGGAGGCTTTGCTCCAGTTGCCCCTACCATCTGAGACTTGACAGGTGGCGGCCCACGAATGAGCCCTCTCGGCCGTGACACCAAAATTTTGGAACTCCCCCCTCCTGGGAGATTTGTCTACCGGTTCTTTCACCAGCTACTGAAGACTTCTTTAAAAATTTCATTTGGCATACTGGCCCTCCTTCCTAGTTCTGGCGTCGTTTCTTTATGTGTTTTCATTGAATTATTTTATAATCGCAGGTGTGTTTTTAATCGTTCAGATGCTTTCATGCAGGGCTATTTTTGGGCAGGAGCGCACAGGAACGGAGTTCCGGCTGGCTCCCGAGCTGGCCACGCCCAGCAGGAACTCATTAGCATAATAGGCCACACCCAACAGCAGAAACTCATTAGGACTGGCTACATTAGGGGTGTGTGGCCTAGTTCCTGCTACAAAAAGAAAGCCCTGGGTTTTGACAACAAACAAGGTAAACAGAATGAGAAGCAAAAGGTGGGTGTGGCTGGATGACCACACTTCTGGTAACATGGGGGTGTGGCCTAATATGCTAACGAGCTGCTCTGTCAGGGGTGTGGCTGAATATGCTAATGTGTTTCTGCTGTCAGGTGTGGCCTATTATGCTAATGAGTTCCTGCTGGGCTTTTTCTACAAAAAAAGCCCTGCTTTCATGTGTCCCACCCCCCTCCGTTCACTGCCTTGGGGGCCCTGGTCAGGGGAAAGGGCGGCATACATAACGTTTTCAATGAGATTATGACTTGCCTTACAGATCTCTGTGGCCACCAGCATGCTGAGGCAATTGAACCAGTTGTCGTAGGCTTCCAGGTTGTAGGTCTTGGTAAAGTCGCCTCGGCACTGGAAAAGAAACAGCGGAGCGTGAGTGCTCTGCGAAGCGTCGGTTAAAACAGGGCTGCGAGGGAGTCCCGGAAGGCGACCCACGCGCAAGGACATGTGATTTGTGTTTTGTGAGTGCAGGTACGTAATCGAACTTGGTGCGCTTGCGCCTGAGAAGCGCTATTCCTTAGACAGTGGGTACAAAGGCTGGGGCTGCCATTCCCGGGGGGGGGGTTTGCCCACTTTTGGGGCCCCGATCCGCCAGCCTGGATCCGCCCCCAAAGTGCCACGTTCTATCATTGGAGGGAAAACTCTATGGTTGTTCCTCAAATGGTAGAGGCCCCTCCCACAACGTGCCCTGCGCGATAACGTCACTTCCGGGTGACGTCATCGCCGTGTGCACGCTTTGTGCATGCTGAAGAACTCCTGAGGAGGAAGTGGGGTTGCCAGGCTCCAGGCGGGGCCTGGGGATCCCCCGCTTTTACCACTGACCTCCAGCTGGCAGAGATCAGCTCCCCCCTGGAGAAAACGGCTGCTCTGAAGGGTGGACTCTGTGGCCTGGTACCCTGCTGAGGCCCCTCCCCTCCCCAAACCCCGCCCTCTCCCGGCTCCACCCCCCAAGTCTCCAGGCATTTCCCAACCCAGACCTGGCAGCC